TCATCAGCTATTACCACAATGAAGATGATTGATCATAAAGGTAGCTTAGGAGAGATGCGAGTTCATGCTTGTGTTTGTCTCAACTCCATTCACCTTGTTCCAGTGGTCTGATACGTGACAGCACGTGGATGTAGCCCTTGGAGGTAGCACATAGGCGGTTGCTCACTGCGATTATGTTCACTGGTTTACGTTGACGTTGCTGTGTTTCTCGTCGCAACCGACATCTGTGTGGCTGCGAAAATGAGTGTGGTGGAAGCCGAAAAGGTCTGTAATGCTATAGCTGGCTTTTGCCGTACGTGTATGATGGTGCCAAACTAAGCATAATCTCGCAGTGGATGTTGGGTAACAGCTGTGACTAGCGGTGACACTTTGTATATCATTGTGTGTAGTCTGAGTTCCGGGCATAACCACATCTCTGCAATGGGGAGGACCGGGATTGTAGAGATTAAAGGGAGTGTTTCTAATGTTTTCTATTCTCCAAATTCACGCCAAGGGCGGTTTTGCAACTACCTATGGTTAATTTTGGCGCTTAAATGTGCGTTGGGTCTTGCGCAATTACACCGCCAAAAATGAACCAATCATTGGATAGGAAAGGGACGAATGCATGTGGTGAGTAACCGCGCTTTAGTGATAGGGAGAGCGCTGGCGGTATAGTGCGGTACGCACTTGGAGGCCCTTGCGTAATTCGAGACGGAAAAATATGATATCCTGAGCATGTCTAGTGTACCAGCGACATCGCAGCAACAATAACAGCGCATGTGTCCTGCTATTTCGAACACTGAATTCGGTGCACGTGCATTCGAAATGCGGTCATTTATATCAGGGTATAGGCATTGGAGCCGCCTACAGACGCTGCCAAAACAACGTACAACAATCGTATTTTCATAGAGCCTAGTGCAGCCGATTGACACGACACAATACTTGTGCCTCATCTCACTATAAAGCAGGTCAATATGAATTAATTGCGGCGCGTATCAACTGACCAGCCTTACCACACGGCCAAACCCGTGCAACCACAGCCCTCAGCTAAATGTAAAAAAAACAAACATTAACATATCGGGCGCCACCATCGCTGCGCTCGCAAACTGCTGTCAACGCTGACAAGCGACATCCTTGAAAAGCCATTGGCTAGAATTAACGTTGCCTTCCCAATGATGTCGATGTGTTTAGTAGTGAATATTGCTTGGGGGCTACCCGATAACTTCGCTCTTCCATACAAATCAAAGCAATCTTGGGGGTTGTGACTAGATCTCGTCAGTGGAGGCGAATTAGTAGAAACCAATAGCAACAAAACCTTCAATTTAAAATTCCCTGCCATCCTACATGCACGGTTAAAAATTTCAACTTGGCTAAACACACTCCCTTTAACTGGAATGCGACGGCATACACATGTCAGAAAGAAGTAATTTCAGCGGGGAATTGTAAAAACGTGCATTCCTCAGGTAATCAAAATCCAACTTCCTAAACTTTGGTGGCATGATCCTGGGTTTGCTTATCAATCCTTGTCTTGATTTTCCTTATATGGGGCAATGGGGGTCAGTATGAGGTGAGAACAAGTTTTTTTCAGCACACTTATTACTGGATTCACCCAGGTCAATTTAAAACACATCACATGGTACCATCTGCAATTTAGCAATGTTCACGTACACCCAAAGATCATTTGGCAGATATTTGTAACTGAATTGTCACTCCGTTCGTTATTCATTGTCGAGGCTTGCTGTTAAAACATTAACCTTTTTAGTGTGACCTAAGCCTCATTGCAGGATATGATCCGCCCCCCCCCCCCCCTGAAAGTCACACCCACGGTCACCATACGGTGTTCAACGTATGACTCTCCCAGGAATTCCTGCCTGTGCTTGTTGAAAATAATCGGCCATCGAGTAGCGTTTTAAGTGAGCCTTGAATTATTTGATACATAAACCCTAGCCTTCATAGGGGGGGGGGGGGAGAGGGGGTCTTGTGAACCACCCCATTAGGTTTTTCTTGTGGTACCTGTCGGGTATGCTGTGCAATCGCACCGAAATTTCGATACCTTCTGTGTTATCTATTGCGCGTGTTCTGGCGCCATAAACGTGTCCCTTGAATTTCGGGTTTCTTGGGAGCGACGGTAGTTTGGGAGCCTTGCCTGGCGATCTACTGCCGGTGTGGGCGGAGGCCGGCAACCTACCATTGCGCGGTCTGGCGCGGTGGGCCGACACTGTCGCATCGACTGAACCCTTTATCAGATGCGTACGCTCGAGACAGATTACATTCCATTGTATTCAGAATTGGACAATACATACGCCTGTTGAAGTTTTGCGTCGCCAGGAGGCATGGCCCTGTGCATAAGAACATGTAAAGCCGAACAAATCTGTTAATGTTGAGAAAATCTTACCTTTGACCTGGCGTATTAGTGACAGTGTGTAGCCTAGGGACGCGCAGTTATTGTCAGCCGCTAGATCTCGTATAGAACAATGCACTGTAATTTTTTTCTCGAGGCTCCACCTTTTTTAGTTTAGGAACGGCAGGGAGTCGCATCCCCCCCCCCCCCCCCCTATCAGTCCATGCTATTAAAAACCGCGAATCAGGGTCAGAATTACTATCTGGTTTTCATTGCCATCCAAACTGCGTCGCCGTCGCCGTTTTTGCTAGGTGTGGTCGGAAACAGTGATCCGACAGCTTCGGTCTCAACACCTGTCCGATAATAAAGGTGTGCCACATCGCTATCCATCCGTTGTGGAAGTGTTTTGGTAGGATCTGTCGGGGAGGAGGGGGAGGGATGAGCAACACCCATCGGATATATTTAACTCGTTCTACGTATATTTAATAAGAAATCTTGTTGGCAGGCCCAGAGCCCCTCAACGCCATGCCACGCTGTGAAAAATTGTTGTGTTCATTGTCTGCGGAGTTGAGATCGGGGCAACATGGTTTCCGGTGTATGATGTACTCTTATCAGCTGGGCTGGGAGCTGAGTTGGGGGGGGGGGGGGGGACTCTAAACAGCTAGCTCGGGTTCCTAGAGACCGCCTGGCATCTGATGTATATTTTCTACCAACTCAGATAAAACAAACGTTGCTTATTATCACGATTTACTATCATACTGTAACAACATGGTCTTTAGTGGACAGTGAATGGCGAGGAGGTGTGGAATTGGGAAACGCATGTACTTGAGCAGGGTACTAGACCAGCAGTATGGTGATTAGACCTTAAAAAGGAAGCGACAGGAAACAATTAGCAATCAGTCAGATTTTGTTTGTTTCAACCAATTTTTGTGTCGTTACATGTCGCACATGTGACATGTCGGAAATTTTAATGTTTCGACCTCTTCTTTAGTGGTGAGATCTCTCCTTCACCTAAGTAAAAAGCGATTTCAGGACACTCTCTGGGCTCTCAGTAATGTTGCGAAAGGACAGCCCTGTGTCATATTTTCGATGGTTACCTGATATCTACGTACTGCGCTATGAAACAAGTGAGAAGGCTTTTATGAATTATTCTTGCTGATTCCATCATGCATCATGCACTGCGAAACAACTAACCTAATTACGCCTTTCAGCTGGATTTTCTTGCTGTTAGGTGGCAGCACTCTCGCTGTCAATAATGCATAATTAATAGGGACGACTTAAAATCGGCTTGCGCAGCCTGAGTTCCTGATCGATCTGGGGAAAAAATATTTGTTGTATTTAGTTGTCATTGCGCACCAAGTTCCATTGGCTCACCGTGCTCTAAGAATATAAAGCCCGATGGCACACACTACTCAGTGATTGGACGGTTGTCCCTGCGAATTGCGCTGTATCAAGGACATCTTTGCCGTCCCAAGCTATAAAGGCGTAAGTGCCATGTTTTGGAAATGGAAGTTGTTCATATGGTTTGACGTCGTTCGAAGAAATACATCTTGAGATCTGCATCTGATGAATAGGCAACGTTTGAGAAAAATTCAGCTTATTTTTTTAAAAAATCCTTTCAAATAATATCAGCATGTTTATTTCAACGGTATCTGGAAATGTTCTTCTGGGACAATTTAACCTGACGACACCTAGGCCTTTTTTGTCAATGGACGGCAGTTCTACGAATGGCTCTGATTTGCGTTGAAAGATCGTTTCAGAGTTGGAGATGAAAAAGCCGAGTACAGAAACCGATCATTCTGATCGTTTCGATCATCTGATCATGACTCTTTTTTTGCAGGACTGGAAGCTTCGAGCGTTTTGCGGATATGGATGATAGTCAAGGTATTTTTAACTTTATGAGTGACATCCGAATGTTGTCCTGACCGATGTCTGGGTGATACAATGGTTTCACCTGTTTTTAACGTGCCAAATTGAGTCCGCCATGTAACCAGGATTTCGCCCAGGAAGTGGTAAGCCGAGCTTAGGGGCCCTTTAGCTGGGGAAGCCTCTCTCGGTTAAGCAGATCCTTTTAAGCCGCTGCTGGACACGACGCCATAAGCCCCATGCGCTGTGCTACGACACTGAATCGAGGAATACATTTTGAAACGTTTTCTTTGAAAACCTGATTGTGTGTGTGTGTGTGTGTGTGTGTGTGTGTGTGTGTGTGTGTGTGTGTGTGTGTGTGTGTGTGTGTGTGTGTGTGTGTGTGTGTGTGTGTGTGTGTGTGTGTGTGTGTGCGTGCGTGCGTGCGTGCGTGCGTGCGTGCGTGCGTGCGTGCGTGCGTGCGTGCGTGCGGTGCGTGCGTGCGTGCGTGCGTGCGTGCGTGCGTGCGTGCGTGCGTGCGTGCGTGCGTGGTGTGTGTGTGTTGGTCAGCTCTGCCCCTGTGCATTCCAAGGTCACGTATGACGGGTCAGGCCGTCTCCCTAAACTAGTGCGTCGCCTCCGTCTAGCGTGTACCCAAGCCTCTTATCACTCTCCCGTCCCATAAACATGCGTCCATTCGCCGGACGGGAAGGCAGACCCGCCGTCGTCGCCGGCAGCCATGGGGACGGACTCGGAGCCGGAGTCGGGATCCGCGCCGGAGCCGGAGCCTCCCGCCGCCGGCTCCAGCGAGCAGGCGGCGACGGAGCGGGCGCCGATGCTGGCGGCGGCGCTGAGCGGCAGCGCTGATCAGGAACAGACGACGCTGGACGTGTCGGACGCCTCGGGGGGCTCGCCGCCGGGCGACGACGAGTTCGGCCTGGTGGAGACCGCGCTCAGCGCCCACCTGCGGCCCGTGATGCGCCGCTGCGACGACGTGCTGTCGGCCGCTGACGCCGTCCAAGTGTCATCCATCACGTCTGAACAGCGCCGCGCGCTCGGCAGGTCAGCGGCGGTCCGGGGCCGGGGCCGGGGCCGGGGGGCGGGGGACTGAGTTTATATGTTGTCTTTATCTACATGTCCGACCAATCCCACTTTCACCGCCCGGCGCAGCTCCCGCACGCGGGTCTTTAAAAAGGCGTCGGGAGGCTACAGAACTGGTGCGGGCAGGGAAACAGTCTTCAACGACAGCTGCCGTCAGTTATTGATCAGCTTTGGTATTGCTTTTCTAGGGCCTTCATTATTTTTTTAAAGAAATTATTCATTGTCATAACCTGGCTTAAGTAAAAGGAAAATCTAAAAAAAAAACGTAAATAATTTAATTCCTAACCGAACGGTCTGCTCAACAGAGAACAACAAAATATCCTTCAGCTTTACGCTCGTACCATAATTTGATGGCGACGCTCTGTAGATCGATAGAGAAAAGTGCATGCCTTTATTTAATGCCCCTTGCATGCGTTTTCATACCCTATTAAGCTCAGGTTTCTTGGTGGAGAACATGCCTTCTCTCCAATGCTTAATCCTCCCCAAGAGCCAGATGCTTGAGTAGCCGTGGATTTCCGCGTGCCCAAGCGAGTGTTTAGGATGGTGTTTGGCGTCACTTTAATACCTTTTAAACAATCGCCATTTGTAGTAGCTTGACATTTAAATGTAATCAAGGCAGCATTTAAAAGAATTGAACATAATTTTAACCAATATATGATCAATTCACGCAGTATTTGTAGGCATATGTTAGTGAAGCATATGTTTTCATGTACATATTTAACGTGCTACAATTATTTTCACGTGCAATCCAGAAACGTTGGATTATGACGTAAACGAGATGTCCTCTGTTCTTTCTCTTCTCCCTAGCGATCCGCCCCGTCAGGAGAGGCGGTTGTTGTTCTGAGCGCGGCGCTCGTAGTCCGGCGTCTGAGCGCGTGAGTGTCGTTGGTGGACGGCGGGTGTATTAAACGTGTGCTGGTGAGCAGTAACGGACCTGGGCACTGAGTGCATTGAAAGGAAATGTATGTGATATGATAAAAGATTCGGCAGAAACTCGCAAGCAGTATCCCTCGTTTAGCCGTGTGAGTGCGGCACGCGATGCTGTCGAAGTTTCAGGAACAGCCTATTTGCATCTCCTGTTGTTCACAGAGAACAATTTTTATACTATTTCCAATATACAGTTATGGAGAGCAATACGTCTTAGGGTCAAAACACCAAGAGACGCCCAAATTTCAGGCAATGGTTGCCGGTCAGATCCGGGCGGCGCGGAGAGAGGTCATGACCACACAACATTTGGCAGTGACAAACAAGTTATATTATATGACACAGCTTATGGAGGTTTCCGTCCAACAACCAGCCGGATCTGGGTGAAATGGAGTCATGCTTGGTAAACATTTAATCACGGCTGATGGTGCGTTAAACTAAAGCGTATTCCTTTTCGGAGCTTGGATGCGTATTTCGTCAATACGATTCTTAAAAGGCATTATCTTGGCACTGAGTTCCACCGGCATTGCTGATTAGATGTTGCGCTTTTTTAAATGAAAACCGCAGACATGGGCCGTATGGATGATGGATGATGATGACATGGATGATGGCCAGGGGCTGCTGGCCCTGCCTGTGCCGACTGGCACTGATGGACGCGCCGCCCGCCAGGCTGGACGGTGACGGCGACGTGGCGCCGCGCGCCGAGATCGTCACCGACTTCGTCAAGCTGGAGGTGGAGGAGCACGAGCTGGAGGACCCGGGCGACCGGGATGACCTCGACTGGGAGGTGCCGACGGCCGGCGAGAACGACAGCAGCTACGGGCGACCGTACCTCACCACGGCCAGCGACCGACGTTCGCGCGCCACCGGCGGACCCGGCCCGAGCCGCGGCGTGACGCGCGGTCGGCCGCGCGGCTCGCGCTCTCGCGGCCGCGGTCGGGCGCGCGGTCGCGGAAGGGGCCGGGGCTCTCCGGGCCGCGGCCGGCCGGCGGCGGGCCCCGGCGCCCGGCCGGGCGTCACATACCTGCAGGCGGGCCGGTCGGCGGCGCGCCACAACGGCCCCATCGAGGTGCTGGAGCTGCCCGAGCGGCGCGTGCGGCTGGTGGTGGTGCGCGACAGACTGGTTATACAGAACACCGACGAATCGGGTGAGAAGGACGGCCGCTGCCCGCCGTCAGGTCCTCGAACGAGCGGGCTCCGTGCAGTGGTGCGGTGCTCTGGCCAAGCCATAAGAACCGTCTCAAATATCCTCACTTGATTTGTTGGATGACGGCCGGCTATATGACGACTCTGTCATGTGTGGCAGATTGAGTCGCTGGCGCGGTGCCCATTGCTTCTGCATTGTGGACGCTACGCTGCTACTGCAATATGCCTGCCTTATATTAACATGAACGTTCTCTGAATGTCGCTGAGAGATTGTACCGCGGTGTGTTTTTCTCATTCTAAAAAGGGGACGCGGCTCACGTCAAGTCAAGTCAAGTCAAGTCAAGTCAAGCGCCAGTGACTGCATTGGCCATATCAGCCCTCAAAAGCCATGGTACAACCAGAATTCGAACCTGGGCCCCCCCGTGCGAGTCCAAGGAGCTAACCACTCGGCCATTATACCCCCACAGCAGCATGTTGTAGTCTTTGTCTGGCTGCCGCCGTGGTGACTTACTGGGTGCTCCGGTGTCTTCCAGATTCGGAGCCTACCCCGTCGCACAATGACCTGACATTTATGGAGCTGGTAAAGATCAAGGAGGCCGTCACCAAGAAGGTGGATGAGACTAGCGCCGGAGGTAAGGTCAAAAGTCGGCAGCCCCGTGTAAGCGGCAGAACGCTGAAGGTGGATGTGCCGAAGGCGAGCAATAAACCATGGAGAGACGCAGTGTTGATTCGGCGGTTCACCTTTTTTATAGATTGAGATGCCACGTTGCCCGAAATCTGGGCTTTGGCTGTGAAGCGGCTGTTGCGGGGAGTGCGAGCGCCGCTGGAGTTGTGATCGTGCGCCACGTCCGCTCGTCTCGTACGCCTGTCTCTGGTGCAGCGGTGTGACAGCCTGCGTACGCTGTGTGTCGTCTGCCGGCGCCGCCCCTGGCCGCGCGGGGCGAACCAGGGGCGGTGGCCGTGCGGGGTCGGGCGCCGGTAGGCCGCATCACCCCCGCGCCGCCGCCGCCGCCAGGTCCCGAAGAGCATATCCGGCGGCTACGCATGGCGCGGCGTCAGGCCATCTCCTGGGTGGAGACCCGTCTTCGATCCGAGGCACAGGGAGACATTACGCCCGTGAGTACCAGGCGACCCGCCGCCGCCCCACATCGGTCGTACTCACTGGCACGTAGACGCGCTGTTCTCTTTGTATATCAGTTGACATGTCTGTGCACTTTACGATCCATGCCATTTTTCGGCTGTGGCTTCATCATAAATTCACTGGGGGCAAGCACTGTGCTTTTGCGGTGCGCTTTGAGCCATCAAAATGTTTATTGTGTATTAATTTTTTTCCTCATCCGTACTGAGATTTCGCGTTTGTGGTGGAGCTGTGCATCATGTTCTTGGCTTATCGAACTGTTCGTTGTTTTCTGACTCGCCGACTGATCGCGGGCTCAGGGTTGCCACTCGCCCCTGCTCGAAGCCGACCCTGACCGCTGGTGTCTCCCTCACCCGCAGAGCTCGCACGGCAAGCAGGGCAAGTCCAAGTATGACGCGCTGATCACGGCCAGGCCGACGACAGCGGCGGCGGCGCTCACGCCGGCCCGGGCCGCCACCGTCAGCTCGTCACGTGGCAGGGGCCGCCCGCTGCTGCCCAAGCCACGTATGTGAGGCCGCCGGCGGGACTGGGACGGGCGGCGGCCGGGGCAGGACAGCCGACAGACTTGGACGGGGGGTGGGCAGACCAGGACAGCCGGCAGACTGAGACGGGAGGTGGGCTGGCCAGGACAGCCGGCAGACTGGGACGGGAGGTGGGCTGGCCAGGACAGCCGATAGACTGGGACGGGAGGTGGGCTGGCCAGGACAGCCGATAGACTGGGACGGGAGGTGGGCTGGCCAGGACAGCCGACAGACTGGGACGGGAGGTGGGCTGGCCAGGACAGCCGACAGACTGGGACGGGAGGTGGGCTGGCCAGGACAGCCGATAGACTGGGACGGGAGGTGGGCTGGCCAGGACAGCCGATGGACTGGGACGGGAGGTGGGCTGGCCAGGACAGCCGATAGACTGGGACGGGAGGTGGGCTGGCCAGGACAGCCGATAGACTGGGACGGGAGGTGGGCTGGCCAGGACATCCGACAGACTGGGACGGGACGGTAGGATCGGGTGCTGACAGCACCAGCCGCCGGCGGACGGACTGGGCGATGTGTGGGCGCCGAGGTCGGTCGGGCGCTGACGGCACCAGCTGCTGACGGACGGGCTCGGCGGTGTATGGACGTCGAGGTCGGCCGGGCGCTAACATGCCGTGACCCTGTCGCAGCGATGGTGCGCCTCACCGGGGCGCACGGGCTCGGCGGTGTATGGGCGTCGAGGTCGGCCGGGCGCTAACGTGCCGTGACCCTGTCGCAGCGATGGTGCGCCTCATCGGGGCGCACGGGCTCGGCGGTGTATGGGCGTCGAGGTCGGCCGGGCGCTAACGTACCGCGACCCTGTCGCAGCGATGGTGCGCCTTACCGGGGCGCGGCACGTCACCGTCGAGGGCCAGCCGCCGACCGCCGTCGACGCCGACGACCCCGACTACGACCCGACGGCTGGCGACGACTTCGACAACGAGCGCGCCCGCAAGCTGTCCGCCGCCACCCGGCCGACACGTGAGTCCTTGGCAGCCGCTGCTGACGGGGATGACCAGCAGCCCGCCGCTGGCCCCCAACCGTTTGGTAGCCACTGCCATCACCGATTACTGGCCGTGGGATGGATGGGGCCTGCCATTCTTAACCCCCACAGAAACGTGCTTAGACAACTATTGGCCGCAGCAGACGGGTACACGCAACGTCGAAGGGCCGCTGGTAAATGCCACCAGTGGCCAAGTGCAAAAATTAAAAAATAGAATCCCCAGTTTTTGAATGGATGGATTTCTGGCATCACAAGCTCACGCCAATCGGTACATTTTGTGCGAGGCATGATCCCTACCATCGGATCGCGTGGCGTAAGTTCAAGTATTGCAATGCTTGGCACGCCTCGTGCCGTCCTATGGCGTCGCCGAGCTTAAGCACGGGCGTTACCACCGGCTGCAAGCCATACGCGTCAGGGGGAGATAACAAGCACGCGAGGCACTCGAGCCCACCCCAACATGGGTCACAACACGCTTTGTAAGAAGTAACTACTGAGTGCCTGGAGGGCAGTAGGCATCACTTCGCAGCTAACAGTATATTATAAATTCCCCTTACATAGCTTGAATTTATTCGAGCAAAAACCTAACGCCAAAGCGAATAACACTGCCAACACCCTAATACAATGTACAACACCCCGCAGTCAACACCTCTGTCTCGTTTTCGGCGCACTGAGTTTCAGTTTTACCAGTTAGTAGCCGGGTAAATTATACAATTTCCATTACAAGCGTGCACTAATTTGCATGACTGTACCTGACCACAATGGAGTGTACCAGAACTAACGCAAGGTTTGCATCATAAGTGTACGAAGCGAGCTATTTACAGCACATAAAAATACCAGAAGTAGCACACATGCCCGTAACGTAGCACAATTATCTATTTGCAGCTAATTGTCAATCATACAACAACAATCCAGATGATCTCTGTTGAAAAATAACGAGATTATCACCTCAAACATTAGCACACCTTGAGAACACCTTGACCAGTCACTTAGGCAGAAATCAACAGCCGATAGCCTATGTCACACTGTTTAAAACCGACTCGCTGTGCAGTAACCGAGTCATCGCACGATCAATTATGATACAGAATGTTTAAAATTAGTCGTGTCGTGTAAGATTAGACATACTGGGACTTCGCAAAGAACAAGATATATCAGATTAACCCAGATGCATGTCAAATTACCTTAACACGCGCCCGGATGGCGGGTTCAGTGCTCTTTGTCGGTGGGGGTCCACTTAACCCCCTGAGATCTCAGAAACTAAGAGAGCTAGAGACACCAAATTCACAGGGTGTGTTGGCCTGTACGTGAACTCACGTGCGTCAAAATTTACGGTTCCTAGGTGATGACGTTGGGCCAAATAAGGTCGGACAAGGTCAAACTCCACAATGGTGTCCAAGTGCCCTCAGGACCTCATGCAACCACCATGAACCTAGCGACCTGTTCTAAGCAGAAGGTCACCTGTCCTCATTGAAGTTCAGTGACATTGTTTCACCTTTCGAAGGTCGCGGTAACCAAAATCTTGCGAGACTGCTTTGATTTTTGCATTTGAATGAGCATCAAGGATTAGGCAAGGCAGTATGTTCTTGAAAACAGAATGTTGACCTGGGTCATTTTAGGTTTGTGACCTAGTACTGGCCTTGTAGAAGTTCATGAACGACGAGTAATGTGGTTCCTGTTAGCAAATTAAAAGTCAATACTAAAAATGCCCTCATCCAGCATGCTCTGGAGTGATAAAACAGGGTGGTTTTGATGTTGGCCTGACCCTCATAAGTTACCCTGGGTCTATGGAATATCTGTCCTGTAGAAGAATGTCTGTGTATTTGTAGGTCTATGGAATTTATGGCCTGTAGAAGAATGTGTATGTATTTGTGAGTCTATGGAATTTCTGGCCTGTAGTCGGGATATTCTGGCACATTCTGCCCTGTGGAGGACCTGTTGCCATATGTGATGGACCCATTTGGGCTTGTACTGGGGCCCATTTAGACTTATAGAGGGCCCAATATCGACTTGCAGTGCCCATTCTGGCCTGTAGATGCCCCATTCTGACTAGCAGTTGGCCCATTAGTAATTGGACAGAGCACGTTCTGACATATAGGGGGGCCATTCTGGCTTGAAAAAGGGCACATTCTAGCCCTTAGAGGGCCCATTCTAGGCCTGTGGAATGTCCATTCTGGCATGCAGAGGGCATATTGTGGACTATGGACGTCCCAGGCTAGCCTGTAGATGGCTCTTTCAGTACTGTAGAGAGCCCATTTTGGTCTATGGAGCCCACTTTTGGAGGTCCATTTCCTACCTGTAGTGGGTGGGCCCATTCTAACCTGTACATGGCCCATTGTTAACTGCACAAGGCATACTTTGTCCTGCAGAGAGCCCATTCTGATCCTATGGGGCCATGCTGACCTGTAGAGCACCCATTACTGACTGTCTGGCTTGGTGGTGGGGGTGGGGGGCACCATCTTATTTCAGGGGCCAACTTTGGCATTTTGGGGCTTAGGCCCCCAACTTGAACATAGCTCCTGTGCCCTGGTGCACAGTCATTACCAATTTCAACACAACCTTTATTCTTAGGCATTAGATGTTGCAAGAGTTTTTTCTCACAGCTATACGTCTACAGCTTTTCACACACAAAAATAATGTGAAAGCTAAGTGCATTTCGGCCTGGTCTGAGTTCTGCACATTCAAACACATTCAGACTTCAAAAGCCTTTCTCACACGTAACAAAATGATTGAAAGTAAGCTGCATCTTGACCTGCAATGCATTTATACCCAAACATGAAATTCAGTGCAGCGATGTTTTAGGGGTTCTGGTGAAGGGGATGCATTTTTTGGTGGATTGGGGTTTAGATGGGCTTTTTTGAAAAACTGAGCCCAACATAAGTGGCTCAATCTGCACCAGATAAGTCTCATAAGTTTCATTTACACCAGTACTATGAGGATTGATAGGCCAAAAAAGCCAAGATGAAGACGTCATAAACCATTCGCCCGTGATGGTAATGATGATTTCGGATTTGGGCGTGTGTTCTACGTAAAAAGCTGCCCATTCTAATTTTACATTAATAGCAGTGTGTTAAATATTTACGTAGACAGCTACGCGGTCATCTGCGGACAATACAGGTGTTAAGGTGTTACCCGGTACACATGCATGCACGGCACGACAATCGTTCCGTCCACCACCTCGAATTTACCACCAAAATCAAGGTCCCTGTGCGACAGGTAGTCGTGTTCGATGTGACCTCAGCAAAACTATGTAAATTTCTTAAACCGCAAGATGCAGCCAATACCCGTAGGAGGATTTAGGAAAAAGTTCCTGGCGACCTGGAAACAAATATACGTAAGCACTCCATTGGTGCTAATAAAAGGTTTGTGATTGGCCCACCGGGCAAGGGTGTGTCACCGAGAAGCGCATTGGTTGACGTTTGAACCATTGCGTCATATGGATCACGTGATGATCCCATTCTGAAAACCTTAAGTGCGCCTCGAATAGAGCCTGTAAGGTTAGACGCCATAGGGGAGAAATCAAAGCCATAGTATAAAGTTTCGTTGGATTCGCGGAATGAAAGCTTCGTGTTCGTATGCCTTAGTTTCTAAATAGACTGTTTCAGGCTTTCGTGGCATTCATTACGCAAACATTTGGACACTCTTAAGATGTTGCCAACATTACGGAACACACACGTCGGAAAAGGAAGACAAATGGAATCATTACTTTCATTGTGGTGAGCAGGAAGTCAAATGGAATTGCTCGTGCGGCTTCGGCTACGTCAAGTTGAAGTTTTCAGCTATTCGGAGGTTGTTTGAGAAAACTGGTATTGAGGATCAGATCGTACGCATAGGGTGTAACAGTAAGTGAGGAGTACAAAAAAGGGGGATATTCCCTTCAAGAACAGAGTTTTGAACTGTACGCAATGGTCGCCAGGATGGTTAGTTCAGATAAATACCCCATACAAATGTTGATCACTCCCTTTGATCCTGTATCTTATGAGGAAGAGGATTTTCATGATAAGTCGATTAAGTTATTATTTTCAGCCTTGCACATCCGTTCCCGTGTCACGTCCGTTGCAGAGTTTACCCAGGCTCGTGTGAACATTCAGACGACCTTGAAAACGCAGAAAATCAACCGCGACCTGGTGATTCTACAGGCCAAACAGCGTGATCTGCAGAACGTGGTAAGTTTGGGGAGACAAATAGTCCTGAAATAACGGCACTGCCGCGGACAGTGGGTCGGGGTACCGGGTGCAGAGTGGGAGCCGATAACGATGATTGGCGGGGTATGTGTCCACAATACGTGTCTGGGCGCAAAATGACCCTAAAAGTCGACGCGCCCTAAAACCCCAATCATCATCATCATCACAATACGTGTCTGACAAGACAGCGTCTGCACACGAGCGACTATTCGCAGACCCTGCACACAGAATGTCTGTCGATCCTGCTACCATCTATCAACGAGTTTTGAAATCGCGCCACGTGGTTGCGGCGCACTGCAGCAGAAATCTGACCGTGACCACCGCCATGTTGACCATCATCTCATTATCATGTGTTCAGCATAAATTGCTCTTTACATGGATAGCTGATTTTTTCATTTAAGTCCGTGGGGTGCGTGGAACGCGGTACACATAATGATGCTGTCTTGATGGACATACTTATAACGTAAGAAAAGTGCACAGAGGCACTAACTTTCCACGATGTCGCGTGTCAAGTCTCGACATGAGCACTGCACTGCTCCCGAAGCCCCAACGGCTGGCGGCAAGCGGTTTCAGGACGAGGCCTCACGGTATGGAAACGTCGTGCGCGGCATGGACATTCTGAAAAAGAGCACACTCATTTTAACAGTTCCATTTGCATATCGCCCCTAGCCTTCCGTGAAGATTCTGAGCGTTCAGCTTCGACGGTACCCTGTGCTGGTAGTCGCACGTCCGAATTAGTCAAATTGTGTAATTACATCCTGTTTTGCTCCATGTTCGTATTGGATTCGTCACCATTTCGCGACCGGCAAACTCCTTATCGGAGCTAACGTTTTCCCTCACTGTCATGCGCTGCCTCATTCCGGGGCGTAGCTGTTGCGTGCTATCCCAGCCAAGTGCAAAAGGTGAATTTCGCGGCGTGGGCATGGACGCGAGCGCTGGCTGGCCAGGGGACCGGGACCACACGTCATCGGTCTTGGAGTCCCGCCCGCCCCTCATGCTGCTGTTCCTCAGCACGCCACGACGTCGGCGGTGGCCACCGCATTGGGGTGTCCGCTTTCCGAATTAGACAGCTGGAAGGACTGCCGTATTGCACGGTGTCGTTCTTGGGCCGCCCACCGCCGGTCGTCATGGCTTTTTTTTGTTTGTTTATTGGTGCTTTCGGGTCCGTTGACTGTAATGGCCGTCATGGCTTCCCACAGCCGTGCTGTGTTCATGCGTTGAATTTACCAATGTTGCACAGAGAGCAGTGTTTGCCTATGTGGAGTGCTTTTACGCCCCCTAGTGTATTTTGTCATCGCTGCGCCGTCTTTTTTGTCGTAATGCATGAAGCCCATTGGTTCGCATCAAACGTAACGTCATATACGTATATTGAACGGTTCGTAATGGATACATGATAATGATCATGATGACGGCAACCGTAGTCAAGAGTTCTGCTGTAGAAAGCTGCGATCAAACGGCGTGGTTTGAAAAGTCGTGGCCAGATGACAGCAGAAATGGGCAAAACTTTCGTGTGAAGGGTCTGCTATAAGTCACTCGTGTCAACAAGGGCTGACCTGCCTTCAGATGCGCGCTTAAATAACATTATGTCTGATATATCTGCAAGCAACGTACTAGTGAGGGTTTTTGGTTACGTCGCGCCGGCCCCAACTTCTAGTGAAATTTTCTTGTAAACCTATATTTAGTATTTTGTAAAGCCAGATTGATTTAATTTCTTATTGAATATTATCTATTTATTTTTAAACCCGATTTGGTAAAATTGTCGACATGCATGTATAGCTTAAGCTGTCAGGAATCCTGAGACCCTGCAACATTGCTTTCGTCGACACCGAAGGACAGGTCACTACGTGTTATATTTGATATGGAACTGCACAGTCGCACGCATGTTGAATGCTGTCACATCATGCCTGCTCGAGAAGGCTGGCTGGCGTGACCCAGCGCTATGTACCGCGGTGCGCCAGTGGCTGGTGTACTGGGTCTGGGCAGGTACCCAGCGCGATGTGCTGCGGTGCGCCAGTGGCTGGTGTACTGGGGCTTGGCAGGTACTCGGCGCGATGGACCGCGGTGCGCCAGCTGACGGTGTAATAGGGCTGGGACAGGTACCCAGCGCGATGTACCGCAGTGCGCCAGTGACTGGCGTACTAGGGCTGGGCAGGAGCGTGTTTTCAGACGTTGATTGGTCATGCCGCGGGCCTTTTCGTCAGGGGGCCGAGCTGCGGCGGGCGGTTGATTACTTCAGCGTGGAGGCTACCAAGGACCAGGCCAAGATCGCGCGGCTGAAAAATGAGAACTCTCTGCTGGAGAAGAAGTTGAAGGATCTGGAAACCAGCATCCTGGGCAACACGCCCCAGCATTCTAATTGGGCTGCTGGACAAGGTGGGCCGGACTTCCGCGATTTGGGAGATTCGCATCGCTTGGGTGTGCCTTCTAGCAACATTGGCCCACCGAAAAATGACTGTGCTGAGTTAGATGCATAGAAGATAGCGGTATCCGTCGTGTATTCACGTAAAATGCCTGTTTCTTGAGCCTCCACATTGTAATGATTCAAAAGAACCCTCTCCATTCTCTCGTCAGCATGGGCAATGTGTTAGATGAGTAGGCAGCATTGCCTCTTTCATTAAGCAACGTTTTAATATGTTAGCTTTACACGCACGCACGGCACGCACGGGCGCAAACACGTACACACGCCCCCCCCCCCCCCCCCCCCCAACGGGGGCACCAGCTTCGGCCGGTGTAGGAGAGTAGCGCCCCCTGGGGTCCCAGCTCCGGTAATGGACGGACAGTGCAAGCTGTTCATTTCAGGACCTAGCGACCCCGCCGGCATGTGAGCCCCTGCTTCGTATCCCGCCACCTCCCTTCCTCATCACCCGCATTTCCGCATCCGGCCCTCTCACCACCTCCTCATCCTCGTTTTGTCGGGGTGCCGTGCCCCTTCGCCCGCGTCCCCGCGTTGATCGGATCCTGCTAGCTGAGGGGGCACGACGTGCGGGCAGCCACAGCGCGTCCCATCACTCAACTTTGGCGAGGATATTCGGGGGCGCGGGGATCCAGTGGGGCTCCACACGGGTCTAGCGGCTTGCCGCTCGCGCTGCGGCTGGGTGCTCCGTGCAGGTCTCCGCTTGGGGCGCTTGGTCGCGCGCAGCGGCTTAAGGGGTCAAGGGGCGACGGCGCTGAACCGCGGTTAGCACGGGGAGGGGTCTCCCCGGTTACACATGGGCGTGTGGGAGGCGTCGCCCGCCCCGTGTAGCACCGGAGTAGCCCTGGCAGTCACCATCTCCCGATTGGAGTGTTTGGCCGTCCCCCAGTTGGGTTCCGTGGTGGGTGGGAGGCCCCGGTGCCGAACGCCTAAACCTTACGTGCATGACAACGTCAATCCCCAAAAACACCCGCACCCCGAAAGAAGGGCGAGCTGGGACTACAGGTGGTAGTGTGTCAACGCCCACCCCTCGAATCCTGAATTTTCGAAGCACCGAGAAGGCGCTGTCGTCCCTGTCGCCCTTTCAAAGGCCGAATGGGTGTGTATTTCGCCCTTTCAAAGGCGGAATGGGTTTGGAAAGGTTTCGACCGATGCGAAAAGCGCGAGGGTGGTGGGATCGAGGTCGAGTTTCAGAACGGAGAGGAGGCGAAACGGGCCATGACTTCGGATGGGTTTGTGTGCTGTGTTCGGGATGCGGAAGGGAAGAAGGCGTGTCGGTTGCGATGACTGTGGAGGCTCATAAAACGAAGAACTCATCAAAAAGCATCATCAACTGTTTTGACCTGAAAGATGTCAGTGATGAGAAAATAGTCGACGGGCTTCGCTGAGTTCGGGCTGACAGACGCTCGCCTGCATCACGGTGCGTAGGGGTGCGGAGTTGGTCCCCACGAACAGCATCGTACTGAGTTTTAACCGTCCTGACATGCCATCTGAAGTAAGGGTACGCTGTGTGAAGGCAGCGCCCTAGAATTGCCCACTTGCGGTGTAAAGCGAAGCGAAGGACATGCTATGAGGATGTCTTCGCTTCTTGTCCCCATATTCTGTTGCATTTTCACTCCCAATGTGATATTGTCTGACCACACATATGAAACCCATATTTCCCTTTCAGAAGTCTATAGATGTTCATTGAAAACCGAGCTCACTTAAAACCATCAAGGTTGCTCAACATATGGGTTAATCGAGGTTAGGTTAAGCTGGTTAAGTGCATGGCATGTGACAGTTGGAGTTTTACAAGAATTGGTGACTCACAGATGCTGCTGTAATACAAATAGATTAGACAGGATGAGATAAGGTAAGGGTTCTCTAAGTTAGGGTTATTTAGGCTTCTTTCACGGAAATAGACATTGGTATTTTGCGAAAAACAGTGGCGTAATATTTGTATTCCCTGATCTCATCTTAACATCAATGAGAGGTATGTCTGTTGGTTGTTTGATTTGGTGGTGTGTTGATGTGCAAGTCCATGACTTTTTTGTTTGAATGCTTTATGCTTCTTGAATTTTCGCATTTTTTGTTGTTGAATTGTTTTGGTCTGTCTTGTATTAAAAATCTTGTGAAAGGGAGCTGCAAAGTGCGGCATCAAAATATTGGTGGTACGTACTTTTTGGTGCTCATTACACTGTTTATGAAATTACTTTTTAATGCATTCTTTTTAAGTGAAATGAGCTAAGATGTTAAAAACAAAAACAAGGTTGTCATAATTATGTTACGTCTATGTCAACTTGAAATGTATGTATTTGTTTTCTGGAGCATTTCTCACTTACAAGTTCCAATTTGTGAATTGTATTTTTCACTCCGGTACGGTCTTTTTGCGATGGAATTGTCCACTCCCACCCTAGTTGAAAAGCGATTCCAGCTCACTTTGTGAAGGTGAAGGTGCGGCTTTTTATTCAGAATTCCCGTGATGTGTTTTAAGTGTCAGATGTTTGGACATGCAAGAGACTTCTGCCATAACGACCCAGCATGTGGTAAGTGTGCTTTCTCCGGAGCACCCGAGTGATCAGTGCACTGCAGCAAGCCCGTGGAGAGTGAACTGTGGTAAAACCAGAAAACCCTACTCTGCTTTCGATCGTGTGTGCCCGGCGTACGCCGGAGAGAAGATCATCGCACTGAAAACTACGAAAGACATCTCATTTCGTGAAGCGAAGGATCTGTTGAACTGAGTCACCTTAAGATATCGTATGCCACAGCAGCCAAGGTTTCTGTCGCACACAAAATCTCCTTAAATCAGATGGCTGGAACGCAATTCATTAAACTACTTATAACGTTCGGGCTGTCGGCTGCAACCAGCGCCTCAGGTGCTCGCCACAACATCGACAACACCGTCGTCCTCCGTCTCGTTAGCACCTTGCGCACCTCTGAGGCACAGGCCAGCTCGCCAATCATTGCATTGCCGCCTGACCCCACACCAGCGGGAGGCAGTGAGTGGGCCGTAGTCCGCCGTGGCCGAACATCCCGGTCTTTGCCAGTAAGCATGCGGTCATCGGCTTCGCAGCCGTCCTCTCCAGGAGCATCACACCCTACAGCACTATGGAGGTGATGGGACGAACTCTGGATGGCCTTGAGTGCCATGAGGCGGGGAGACGTGCGCGCGAGGCCAAGCGTGCACGCCTTCAGGAGCGGGAGAGGGCAAAGGCAGCCAATTGGCTGTCGGGCGCGGGCCTCTGGCCTGCTCCCACGGGGGAGGTAGTCCCACTTCCTAGAAGACAGTCGGGGCTCCATCAGACGCCCCGCGGCATCCAACGATGGGTGTTCCGTCCCATCATCCGCTGCCACCCCGGACCACTACTTCTCCAGCGGCATCTCCGTCCAGAGCGGCGCGGTCCATGCGGACCGATCTTACCGTCAGAGGGCAGCGGCCCTTGGGTCCGGCCAAGAATTTGACTTTGTTCTGTTGCGTCGGGTACGCGGAGCGCAACAGTAAAGCTGAGTTTGACTGCTGGTGCGAGTTCTGGTACATCGTGACCGCGGCCTTCGAGAACGGTTTTCATCTCTTTTAAAACGTCCCTTGACAAGCGTTTTTAGAGGAGCACTAAAAGCATAAGTTGCACCCCTTTGCTTTAGTTCCCTGACAATGTTTTTACGATGCAACTGCAGGGGCGCGAGAACTCGTGCACAGGATCTCCAAGTTATTGTAAACGTCCCCTGTCCAGTGGTGGTGTGTCTGCATGAAACGAAACTACGGCCGGATTCACATTGGACAGTCAAAGGCTATTCAGTATTCCGTAAAGACGAACAATCGCACTTCTAGCACTTTTGTTCTTTTAGCTGTTCACTACAGCGTGGCTGCCCATCACCTGGTACCCGACACAACCCTCCAGGCTGTGGCAGCTCGAGTCAATTTCAACAATCGACTTATGGTGTGTTCGCCGTATGTGCTACCTGAAGTGGAGTCTTCTGTGGCGGAACTCGGCCGTTTAATGTTTGGTCTCCCTCCAGCCGTCACGATTTTGGGTGATTTTGACGCTCATCACACCGTTTATGGTTGCGACCACACAAACATGCCTGGACGCCTATGTGCACACTTCATCCGCCAAGAATCATTGCGCCTTTTTCAATTCTGTGGTTCGGGACACACGTTGCAACTGCCCTCGGGCCGGATGTCCGCCATTGGCCTAAGTATTTTGAGCCCATAGCCTACACCGTGATATACTTGGCATGTCGCATACGATCCCATGGACAGTGATCTCTTTCCTGTTCGGCTAAGGTACCAGGATGGATCCGTTGTCAGGCCTCGGCCTCAGAGATGGAATTTAGAAAAGTTGACTGGTGTGGGTTCGAAACTCGGCTGAAAGACGCTGTGTTTCCAGCTGATCCACTTACATAACCTGCGTCTGCTGATGTCTTAACGTCCCTGCTTTTAAACGTCGCTCTTGGATGCGTTCCCAAAACCAATGGGGCACCGCGGCGCACCCCAGTCCCCTTCGCGGATAGAGGGATGTTGAACTGCTATTCGTGCACGCCGACGCGCCTTCAGGGCTTTCGATCACAGCAGCACTTGGTCAACTCTGATGATATTCCTCAATGCTAGAGCGGCAGCAAGGCGCACCATTCGCGAGGCGAAGTGTGTTTCCTGGAGGGAATACGTTAGCAAACTAAGCAGGTTCACCCCGCCATCTCAGCTGTGGTCACAGATCAAACAAACTTCAGGCTATTTTTCTTCCACCCCGCTACCATTGTTGCGTTCACGTGGCCAAGATGTACAGCCCATCGATGTGGCCAATGCGATCACGTGGGCGCCAGCGGATCGCTGCCGAGCAGGGAACGATAGGATATAATGTTTGCCCCATAGAGTACGCGCCGAGTCAATTGCCGTGATTTGTTAACGTCCGGGGGGCGTAGTTACAATTTGCCATTCACTACGAATGAATTCCAAGCAACCATTTCGACTTGGCGGAGCGTGGTGGAAGGTTTCGATCACATCCACGAGATGTTAAATTATCTCCTCGTGCGTTGGAGTCCCTGTTGGGTAGTTTTAACTTGTTATGGATAAGAGGTCATTTCTCGGTAGACTGGCGGAATGCTACGGTAGTGGCTCTTTAAACTGAGTAACACGGGACTAGATCTGCTGGATTACAGGCTTATTTCTGTTACCCTCACGGTTATGTAATTGATGGGGAAGATGATGAACTTGAGATTGTTGTGATACTTAGGAGGCAAACGCACCTTGAACAATGTCAATGTGGTTTTAGGAAAAGCCGCTGCACGATGGACCACGTTTTAACACTGCTGTGCGCGCTGCTTTTAAACAGGGTCGCCATTTAGGTGCCATTTTCTTTGATTTGAGAGGGCTTACGAGTCAACCTGGTGTCATGGACTTCCAGTCAAACTCTTTAAACACGGCATCCGTGGCCCTACAGGCGTCTTTTTGCAAAACTCTGTCGCAACATCTGTTTTGCATAAGAAACGGCCATCATCTTTCAAATTCGTTTTTGCAAATGGGTTGAATACCCCAAGGAAGTGTTTTAAGTGTCGCATTATTTGCTATCATGATCCATGGTATTGACACGCCACTCCCGCGTTTCATCGGTCTATCCCTCTCTGTCGACAATTTTGCCATCTGATCATGCGCGTCAAGGACGGCTAGGACAGCAAAGACTGTGGAGTGATAGCTGCATATCGCTGTCAGGCGTCTGGGCGTTTTTCAATTTGTCTGGACCGCACCTAGCTTTCCACGCAGCTGTATGCGATCCAGATATTCATATCAAGTGAAGCTACCGTGGGGCGCGACTGGGCGTGACGCACTCGGTCCGCTCGGCTATCGGCAGGACAAGCGGAAGCAGCTGACGGCCCAAGACGAGGCGGTACTGGAGTGCGGCGAGCTGTTAGCCGAGGTCGGCAAGGAGAACTACACCTTCCTCATGGCCCAAGGTCTCCCACTGCTCTCCGCGAAGGAGCTGGAGGAAAAGTAAGTGTGCTCGTGCATTTGTATGTCGTAGCGCTGTTCAAGGAATGGATGTGCAGGCGTTTTAAGGATTGTCGCATTTGAGTTGTAGATGGACTCCAAGGCGACAATGATGGATTAGATGGATTAGATTAGATGGTTCACTGTTTTGCATTGTGCTCCTTACATTTTTTTTTCTGTGGCCATGGCGTGCGGCTGGATGTGTTGTGGTCGCGCCCGACAGTCGCGGGTAACCCCTGTATCTGCTGCACACTACGCTGTGCCGGCACGCCGGGAACGGCTCCGGCGCCCATGCCTGACGTCGTCCCCGCCGCGCCAACAGGACGCGCGGTGTCAACATGGCCTGGCAGCTGGACCCGTCCGAGCTGCTGGCGGCCGCCGCACCGCCGCCGGCCACAGGCCGGGGCCGCGGTAAGAAGCGCCGCCGCCCGGTGGATCCAGGCGCAGCCGTGGACGCGGCCGTGGAAGCGGTGGTGGCTGACACGCTGTCGCCGCAGTCGGGCGCGGCGCGCGGCCAGGCGCTGGTCGGCACGGCCGACGGCACCGAGCACATCAGCCTTCCGCAGGAGGTGCTCGAGCAGGTGATGAACGGCAAGGGATACCTGGTCGACGAGAACGGCGAGCGACTGGAGATCCGCGTCGTCGGCGACGAGCCGATGGCCGGCTGACCGTCGGCGGGGAGGCCAACGGGTGTGCCGGATGTGTGAGGTGGCGTCCGATAGAGAAGCCAGTGACGTCAGATGACTAAGCGAATGGCGAGCAGTGTTCGAGTTGCGAGAGATGGCCAGCAGCGACCCCCAAGGGTGAGCGGGTGATGCCGGAGGGCCGAGCAAGCAAGCCTCGCCGGGGGATGGCTCTAACGTGGTGTGTGTGGGCGCGGCTGGAGGGCAGCCTGAGCTCGCGCCGCTGGCTCCGCCCGCCGCCGCCACAGCCTCGTCTGACCACCGTCGGTGCACACGGCGTCACCCTGACCCAGAGCCTTTTCTGTTTCCATGCGGGATATCGGTTGCTGTAAAAATGCTGTGCTGGGCAGTGCCGGCGCAGAATGAGTTGCTGCGCTGACCGGCGCCTGGCGCCTGGGCTCGAGCGTCAGCCACCAGTCAGCTGGTGCGGCGCCTCAGACCGCGGCCGATGTCGTCACTAGTGTGTTGGCCCCGACCTCTGGCCGCTCGTCCAGGTGCGTCAACGGCGTCAGGACTGGCCGTTATCACCCGGTACCGTTCTGCTTCAGCCACGTCATCCACCATCGCTGTGTAAATACAGGGAATTCATCACTTGCTGCCGGGTTTAGCCGGTAGTGCTGGAGCTGACGTGTGAACCACAGTGAACCAGTCCTTGCAACGTGATTATTTAGATGCGTTCACAACCTAGATGCGAGCACCGCTGATGTGAAGTGAACCTTAAGAAAGCGCGGCTTGTCAATTTAGCAGAAGTCAGTGGGCTGACAGGATATCGGGAAGTTAAATCAGCTGGTTTTGCAATGCAAGGCAATTCCATGAAAACGGCCGGGACACGCTTCCGCAAGTTACACGAATGATCAGGACAGATAAGGCAGGTGTAGAGCAATGACATCAGTATGTCTTGGAGAAAAAAAAAACATGCTGGTTGCATAGAATAAGCAAAGCTCAACAATGAATAACCCAGTTATAACACTGCAGAAGTGAGATTTTGCGCATCCGACTCACGAGTTATCTTGGCGTATGTCGGGGAATTAGCGAGAAAGTGATAAGTACCGGCAACATGTAACATAAATTCGAATCGGCCCTCGCTGGAACTGGCTTTCGTCCCCTCCAGCCGCCCCCTGTAACCTCAGAGGACTAAACCTTGATGGGCGCTGCATACGTCCATCCCACCATCGTCGCGGCTCCCAATCCATTTACTTGACCTCAACGATGGCGGCCAATTCGTTCAGGTCGGGTGCCAGTGGGTGTATTAATTGTCCACCACCCAGCTACAGCACCATGTGTGTAACATCCCGACAAGTGATCGTATGCAGTACGCGTGGCTGTTTATAACACTGGACACCTATTCAAATCGTGCGGGTGGGCGACGTGCTCGCGATGTCGCCACTCTCATGGCGTTCGAATAACACCCCGTTGGAAAATCAGTCGGGTTGAGTCGCTGTCTGGTCCTGCTTTACGTTCATGTCTCGCTGACGGAGGTCGTAAAAGACAAACTGAATCATACAACTAGTAACAGAACTCTCCATTCCTGCTAGTGTATTCCACGCTCTCACATGGTGGTACGAACCAGCGCTCAATTACGCCGCTCCACTCGCCGCGCTCCAAGCCCGTCCGAAACATACGGATGTGCGAGGGAACACATGAACACATGAGAATCTCGTACCGTCGCAGAGGCACGCGCAGAGTCGCACCTCCAATGGTCACAGCCACGGCTCGCTGTCGACAGACAGATACCGGCCACCGGCCTACGGTCGACTGATTGGTCAGCTGCATATTGCACGGAATATTAGCACGCATCGGATTGGACGAGCCAAGCCTCCGCGTATTTCTCTGGTGATGCGCGGTCTGGAGAGGTAAAACTGCGAGGTACGTATAGCACAGACAGCGCTGGCGTTGTTCCCAAAAATTTGAAGCAACGAACATTGCGACAGCAGCAACGAGCAGCCAAGAATAATGGTTCACATGGGCAAATTGACCTGTACAGTACGTTCTGAAAAAAATGACTTCTACGCATATATTTTTGGCCTTATTGATAAATATATCTCAACTTGAGAGAAATCTGGGCGCCTCACGCCCGCAATCCGTGTAAATCCCGAGAATGTACAGGCTAAAAGGTCACTCAAATTGACTCACAACTGATCTAGGACGCACTCGAAACAGAAGGCAATGGCGATGCAAATGCCAAGTCACCCTTGAAACGTGCCTGGGTGCTCCTAAGTAATTAACGCTGGAAGGAGCTTTGCCACGTCATGTCAACCCTGGCTCACTCGCCGACAAGCTAATCGCCCAATTTGTTTGCCTACATCAGCGCCTCATGTCACGTTTTACGAAATAATACTAGTGACGAACATGCAATTATGCATCCCTGGTACATGACAACCAACTGAAAACTAGGCGTAGTATATGACGTCTATAAGCCTGAGGTACTGACAACACGGCACCGCCAATCGCTGACAATGCCCTGCACTGTGCCGACTGTTGCGCGGGTGTGCGGTGCTGGCCGGGGTGTCGGCCTGGACAGGCAATACCCGCGGCGGCCAAGTCTCGAGTCGAGCGCCGGCGCCGCCCCGGCAGAACGACAGCACAGCCGTCCAGCACTAATGTCGTCTACCCCCGCCGACCCAGCAGCAGGAAGAAGACAAAGCGGGCGATCTTCTCGTAGAGCACGAACATGAGCGCCGCCGTCAGCACTGTCTGCAGCATCTTAGCCTCCAGGCCCTTGAAGACGCCGGCCAGGCCGCCGTGCCTACGGACGGCCGACCCGAGGTGAGATGGCGGCCTTGTCCGGTGGCAGTGCCGTCCGGCAGGAAGGAAGAGGCCCTCCACAGGGCGGCACAACTCGTTCGTCATCGAGACTTTACGACGCGCTCAGCCGCTTAGGTTACATGGCGTCGCCTACCTGCCTCTCACCGTGGCAGGAAAGGCGAGCAACGCGAGGGACCGAGTCCCGTACCTCTGGTTTGGTTCTAGCCCCTAGTCTGGCGGCACAACTACCTCACGGCCCCACATCCACCGCCGTAACGTGACGAGGCCTCTGATCTCCGTACTTAACAACTACGTTCAAGATGTCACTTGGGCATGAATCATCTGTCCACACAATCCGACCTCACAACCCATACGTTGCGCGGTACGCGGACTGAGGCCCGGCGCCCGATCGCCTGACCTGTAGAGGAGCAGCAGGATGCGCAGGACGCGCAGCTCCCTGGTGCCGTCCTCGAGGACCAGACCGCCCACCTGCACCGGACCAGATCAGATCAGACTACGCTCCGTGAGATCAGGTCAGACCAAACCGGCACGCAGTCGTGAGGCTCGGGGGAGACACCGCTGCCGCCGGACCGGTCACACCGACGCCTGCGACGACAACCGAACTGCAGAGTCGTGCGATTTCGACGCACGGAATGCTTTGTGAGGCATGATGAATGTGGATGTTGCAAAAACGTATTTACCGTACGTCCGTCATAAACGCGCAGAGGCTTTATTTTGAGGCCAAGTTGGAGACTACACACGAGTGACGACCAGATCGGCGCCATAAAGGCGCCCAAGGAAATAACTGGAGACCACGGAAAGGGTCGCTTTAAGACACCACCGAAAATATACCAGCATGAAAAGAAACGTCATGGAAAGACGACCAAGTCCCGCACGGATAAGAAACAATAACAAACGTGACAGGCAATCACGAACACAGCTTGTCACGTCGAGCGGGTAAGGCCGCTCAATGTGTGCGCCATCACCGAGCTTCAATAAGACTGACATTTGCCGGCAAACCCGGCCACGCCCGTAACGTGTGGGAAGAGTGACGGCCCGGCGTTCGATAGGGGGCCGGTGGAGGCGGCAGCCATACCCGCAGTTTGGCCTGCACCATCTGCAGGGGGTAGGTGATGATGGTGGCCAGCGCCTTGCAGGCGGCGCCCACCACGAACACTGTGGTGGCGCTGAGCGGCACGCCCGGCTTCAGACGCTGGAGGACACAGCCGAGGGTCAGAACACGGCGCGGGGAACAACGCACATGGGTCACAACACACAGCGAACACAGCAGGGTCAGAACACATGGCGAGCACGGCGGGGTCAGAACGCACGGCGAGCACAGCGGGGTCAGAACATACTGAGAGCATGGCGCGGGTCACAACACACGGCGAACACAGCGGATCAGAACACACGGCGAGCACAGCGGGGTCAGAACATATGGAGAGCACTGAAGCCGTCAGGACATGTTCGTCACGCAAATGAAGACCCCCGAGTGACAGCCCGGAGCCCACCAATTGGTCAGTGTGAGATGGTGCCCGTGTGGTGGCGTCCGAGGACGACCGCAGCGATACCCCCTGTAGATCAGCAGCAGTCGCTCGCACGGGCTAGCCCACCCCGCACCCTTGCCGTCCATGGAGGCTCGGAACTGGACTGCCGTCCATGGAGGCTGGCCGAACGGGAGGCACGTGCCGGCCCAGCTCCTCCTTCCGCCGACCAGGGCCGTCACCTGCTCTAACGCTGGCACGTGCCGGTCCCGCCCAGATGGAGTCGACCCCGCCGACTCACCTCCAGATAGCGTTTGGCGGCCTCGTAAGCCACGAACTGAACGGCCGGGTTGGAGGTGAGCATGAGCGAGGGCGTCAGGCCGTTGTAGAGGGCGCCGGTGCCCTCCTCAGTGGCGATGCGACGCACGCCGTCTGCCGACGACCCAGCCGCCGTGTCACCGGGCGGGCGAGCGGGCGAGCGCACGAATGAGCTCGACCGGGCGGACGAAACACGACCAGTTGTCGC